CAGGAGAAAAAGCAACGGATGGAAATTAATCAAGGAGAGAAGCAACCTGGAACGAAGGAGGAATTTCCTGATTGGGAGAACAATTCATCAGTGGAAGGGATTTTCCTTCAGAGGTTGTGGGTGCCCCAAAAGCGGAGATTTTAAAGAAGAAATTGGACAACCACTTGAGCAGGACGGTATAAGGTCTTCTGCCTTGAGCAGGGGGTTGGACTAGATGACCTCCAGGGTCCCTTCTGTGCTCTACGATCTGCTCCGCTGCTTTTTCAAGACCGTCCTTCTCTTCAAGCCGTGCCATCCATAATCCCCTGCCTCTAGCCCAGCCTGATCCTTTCAACCCAAAGCCTCTGGCCCAGATTTAAATCCCCCCCACCCACCCAGAGATCGTCCCCCCACCCCACCCCTTTCAAATTGCAGCACTGGAGAGGCAGAAAACCCACAGCCGGCTCTGCTAATGGAAATCTGCCAGCAGGGCTGATCTTGAATGGAAGAGGGGGGGGGAGGAGAAGGTGCCCCCCCCTTGGAGGCTCTCAAGGAACCCTCCACCTCCCCCCCCGTCCTTCCCCATTCAGTAAAGCCGCAACGCAACATGCAAAAATCTTAACTCCGTAGGCAGAGAAGAGAGCGAGGGAAGACAGTTGCTGTTGGCTTTCATGCCCGCAAAGCAGAACACCCACAAACACACCAACAGGCAGAAGGCAGAGCGTGGCAAAATAAAACACGCACACACAGAGAGAGAAACACACACACACACACACACACCATCCGAGGCTATTGTGGATGACAGCCCTCAAGCCCCAAACAAGATTCAGAGAATTACAGAGTTGGAAATTTCCCATTCAAACTGGACCTGAAGTGGGGGGGGGAATGGAATTTCTCCCCCCCGCCTCTCTGAAAACCAGGCAGCCTCCATCACACGGGGAGGGGGGCTATAAAACCCCTTTTCCCAAACCCCAGGGATTCTTAGCCCCCCCCCCTCAAAGCTCTTTGAGGGGACCCATCTGCCACTGCTGGGGTTATTGTGCCGGAGAGGTGGGCAGGACAGGTGGGTGGGGGGGGGCAGGGGAGGAAGAGGAAGGGGAGGAAGGAAGCCCGTTACCTGGGATGAGAAGGAAGAAGGTGAAGGCCAGGAGGCGAGCGGAGGAATCCGTGTCCATGTCGGTTGGAAAAAGAGGATTTAAATTCCCCGAATCCTTCTTCCTTCTTTCCTGCTTTGGACCAGAAGAAAAGATGAATGGCAGCTTAGCAGACCAAGCCTTCGTGTAGGAGGGAGGGAGGGAGGGAGGGAGGAAAGGAGGGAAGGAAGGAAAGAAGGAAGGAAGGAGGGAAGGAAGGAAGGAAGGAAGGAGAGAGGGAAGGAAGGAAGGAGGGAAGGAAGGAAGGAATTGCGTTTCAGCCATCCTCCAGCATCTCTCTCTCTCTCTCTCTCTCTCTCTCTCTCTGCTGGAGACCCCCACCCATTTCCAAAGTACGCCCCCCCCTAGAGAGAGGCAGGCAAAAAAGGGGTGGGGGGGTTTGGAGAAGAGGCAAGAGGGGGCAGGAGGATCCACAGGCAGCCAAGATGGAGATGCTGCAGCCAGCCAGCCGGCCTACAGGAGGAGGAGGAGGCCGGTCCAGGGTGGAAATGACCGGCCATTGCCCCCCCCTCTACCGCCCCCCCACCTTACCCAGCCATCTCTGACCGCAGAGTCAGCCTCCATCTTCCGACAAAGCTGCCATCCCAGCAGGAAGCTCCTGGAAGCCTGGCGAAGCCAGCCTAGGGGGTACCCTAGAGGTCATCCAATCTAACCCCCTCCTAGAATCGGAATTAGCAGCCACCTGACAAGGAGCCGGGGCCGTGAAGACTCATTGGGGGGAAAGGATTATTATTTTTCTTTTCCACTTCATGCCGTTCCTCCTGATCAAGACCAACTTTTAAGGCTTGAGAGTCCGAAAATTCGTTTATTAAGGAACGCCCTCCCCCCTCCCTCCCCCATTTGCCAGGAAGACCCGACTCTTGCCTTGCCTTCCCCCTCGCCTTCTTAAATCCCCCCGACCCCAGATCTCACCTTCACTTCCTTAAGGAATGAGGGTCAAGATTCCAGCTGGAATGTCTTTTAAAAAAAAAAAAAACCAGCTAAGTTCCTAGTCCCTGTTGTCAGTGAGCTGTAGGGAAAGGAGACCAAAAAAGTTCTGTTTGCTCGGTAGACCGACTTGAGGCTCTTTCCAATATTCCGTGCTAAAATGCACACAATTTTTGTGCATTTCATTGTCCAATTTATTTTTAAAAAATAAATTGGAAAAAGGGAACGGTGGGAAAACCTCGCACACACAACCGGTGATTTTTTTTTTTTTTATGTATTTTTTTGCCTGGCTGCTTCCACACAGTGGCAAATTCTCCAAGACTCGGTTTGCAAGCACAGCTGCAATGCTGGAGAGCACATCTGGGCTTCCTGGAATGCTATTCGTCCTGCGTGGCACAAGGATCCCCCGTGGGCAAGAAAGCCTTAATTGAAAGTAGATTCTTGGCAGTGTGTGGTGTGTGTGTGTGTAGGGAGGGAGAATGTCTACCAGGCAAAAATCCCTTCTGTTTAATGGAAATTCTGCCTCCCCAAAGCTTGAAATCTTCCAGCAATATATGCATATATATATATATACAAATGAAAGCTGGACAGTTTCATCGAATAAATCAATTTATTTAAAAGAATATGTTACAATTAGTTGTACTAATTGATTCTTACCAAACAAATTTCTTTTTAGAGTAGTTAGCTCTAAAGATGAAGAATGCCCCACACTTCGCCCTGCCCCCCCCCGCCCTCCCCCCCCCAAATTTCTTCAAGCCTTTTCTTCCTTCTTCGCCAGGATATTCCTTCTTCATAGCCCAAAATTGCAAAAATAAAATAAAATAAAATAAAAAAAGATAAGAGGAATATGCAGTGAAGATTACAATTAGAATTCTGTCAAATAAATTAAAACAGTGAGAGAGAGAGAGAGAGAGAGAGAGAGAGAGAGAGACGCACATGGAGAGCACCTGGGAACCCAAGGCTTAAATATATATATATATATATAAATATATATATATATATATCTTGACCCGAACCAATGATATTTTTAAAAGAAAAAAAAAAGAGGAAATTTGAGGGAAGACAGAGAAGTTTTTCAGCCTGTAATCTTTGGATAAGCAGCCTGGGATGTTAAAACAACTTCACAATCCTGTAACACAAAAGAATCAAACCTGAAACACAAGTTATCGCTGTTAGGGGAAAAAACAATAGTCGGTTCTTCTTTGCAGCAAAATGCTGGGGGATTTTTTTATGTGTTGCGTCCTTAGAGGAATGGAGAAGGGAACACACACACACACATACACACCAAAAGAAAGAAAAGCCATTTGCTCAGAAATGGGGTAATTTTTGCAAATCAAAACAGGCGTTCATGCTGGCTCTGATGGAGAAACAGCAAACAAACTCTTAAGGAAGCAGCTTTGAGCTGTTGGTCCTTCCCCCCCCCCCATCTGAGAGTGCCTTTGGACCCCTCCCACCCCCCATACCCTCAGAAACCTGCGACTGCTTGCGCCCCCAGCAACCTGACAAGTGTGATTGTGTGAATCAACCCCATCATTCCCCAAATCCTTGTTAAAAGAATGAGGCATTTCTGCTCCGGCACCCTCCAAAGATATATTACTTCCGACGTATATACCCTCCGTCTACTAGCGCGACCAAATCTGCGCTTTGCGCAGCCAAAAATCCGCCAGGTTTGCGCTGGGAAACGAGGACTCCTGTGCTCTCCGCTTTGGGTTAAAGCAAGGGGCTAGTCCTGACGGAGGCGAGTCGAATGCAAAAACCCCCGTGCTGCTTTTGAGCTACGCTGCCCTTCCAGAAAATCCTAAAACGTCCAGAAGGGTCTCTTTGCACAGGGAGCAGCTGAAGAGTTTTTAGTGCAATTGAAAGCACCTCTTGAGGTCGGGGGCACATGGTTACCGTTACTCCCTTGCCACGCTGAGGGGCAATGGACGCCTTTTCTGCCACCCCAGGCAGGTGCCGCCACGAAGTGGCTCCCCCCGACGCTGAAAAAGCACCCACATTTTTCTAAGGATGGGAATGGGCCCACCGGTTTTTCCCTCCCTGCAACCCGGTGTGGCTGCGGGACGGTGTTTGTGGTCAGCAACTGGCTGCCCAGGGACAAAGCAGGCCTCAACTGCCGAGTAAGGAGTGAGTAAAAGGGCTTTAAGCAGGGAAAAATAGCTTTTGTGGGCACACGCTTGAAGGCCGCAGGGAGGGGTAAGGGACAAGCATGGAAGCTGAATTTTGCAAAGGATTGAAAAGGTTTTTTCCCCCCACCGCTGCATATATATATATTTTTTAAATCCAAAGGGTTGGGCCAGAAAGCTCCTGTTTTTATTTTTATTTTTAATTTCCAAGTTTGAACTTCAGCGCTGAGCCCCGCGGGAGCCGTCTTAAAGCTGCGAATTCAAATTCCTTGTGGGAAAGACTGCAAAAATCTGGGTGGTTTTTTTCTTTTTTTAAAAAAAAAAACACAAACAAAAACAAAACAGGGTTCAAATTGTGTTTCAGCACACCACCCCCCGGCCACCCCCCGGCCCGGAGCTCAGATATGGAACACACAAGCTGACTTAGGAATCCTTCTAATCCATCAATATGAAAAGAAAATTATATATATATGTAATTATATATATATACGGGCGTGATAAGTTTTGTCTCTCTACATATATTTGTTTTTACATACATACAGATATATCTCAGACAGTGCAAATGGATGTGTGAGTCTCCATCCGGTTGTTAAAAGAAAGGAAACGACAAGGAAAAAAATTGTTCAGCGCCGTCTACCTTTCGACCACAGGCGACTCCGAAAATGGCAGAGATCAAACTACCAAAAATGAAACAAACAAAAAATAAAAAAATTGCTGGCAACAACAAACCGGGTGCCCCCTCACGGTGGTCTCCCTGCCCCCCCTTCCCTCCCACCCCCCCACCCCCTGCTTAACAGGACATTCACGAATGGAATTAATATGAGTTTAATACAGCAAACCATTCCCCTCTTTCTCTCTTTTCTTTTCTTTTCCTCATTTTGAAAAGTGTTAATTTTTTTGTGTGTGGGTTTTTTCAGGAAAGGTTTTTTTTGGGGGTGGGGGGGAGAAAAGGGATAATACGCTTTTCGGTCGGTCGGTCAGTTATCCGAGACGGCTCAAGTCACAATGTCTCGGTGCTCTGTCCGCATCAACTGGAAGATGTTCTGGAAGAGAAGAAGAAGGGAATGAAGGGGAGACACTGAAAGCGAGTGTGTGTGTGTGTGTGTGTGTATGTGTGTTATTTCCTCTGAGACAGACTGTCCCCCCCCCAGCTCCTCCTCAAAGTGGGACACGCCACTGAGAGAGAACAGAATAATAAAGGCAGGCTATAAATATAATAAAATAAATAAATAAAAGAATAAATAGAATACAAAATAAAATAAAATTAATCAATAAAACAAAATATAAAATAAAACAAACTAATAAAATAAAATACAAAATAAAATAAATTAATAAAATAAAATATAAAATAAAACAAACTAATAAAATGAAATAAAATAAAATAATAAAATAAAATATAATATAAATAAAATAAAAAATAAACTAATAAAATAAAATAAAAATAAAATAAAATAAATAAAATAAAAATAAAAATAAAATAAAATAAAATTAATCAATAAAATAAAATACGAAATAAAACAAACTAATAAAATAAACTAATAAAATAAATAAAATATAATATAAAATAAAAAACAGACTAATAAAATAAAATACAAAATAAAATAAATTAATAAAATAAAATATAAAATAAAACAAACTAATAAAATGAAATAAAATAAAATAAAATAATAAAATATAATATAATATAAAATAAATAAAATAAAAAATAAAATAAAATATAAAATAAATAAAATATAATATAAATAAAATAATAAAATAAAATAAAACATAAAATGAAATGAAATAAAATAAAACAAAACCGAACAGCTAACCCTTCGCTGCCCCCTCCTCACCTTACTACACAGACTGTCTTTACCGCAATTCTTGTTGTCCTTGTCGGTGGCTTCTTCTTCCACCTGTCGAAGGAAAGTACGGGAGCAAGTTGAGGACGGCAGGCCAGGCGCCGGGGACGTCTAGCGCCAAGAACCCAGAGCGCGTGTGGCTCCCAGGAGAGGGAGGGAGGGGGAGAGGCTCCCACCGGACGGCACTGGCCCTCCCCACACCCCTTCCCACCCTCACCTCCTTCCGCCACTTCAGTTCGCAGAAAATGCGCTCAAAACACTCGTGCATGTAGTTGAACTGCAGGGAGAGAGAGAGAGAGAGACTCGAATTCAGGGCCTGAGGAGCTAGCCAGCTCCGTCCTCTTTCCAGGGCTCCAGACCCCCCCACCCCAGCCCTCTGCCACCGCCCCCCCCTCTGCTTACGTAAGGGGTGAAGATCTTGACCCATCGCGGCTTCTTCTCCCCCCGCGCGTATTCGAAGCAGAACGCCATCCCTTCCTCGTCCGTGTCCCATCGCTGCATCTCGTCCCATTCGAAAGCGATGACTTGATTCTGGAAGGGATCCCCGCAGGTTCGGTGCGGATGCACAAGGGAACACACACACACACACACACACACACACACACACAGGCATCCAGCAGTGGGGGAGGTCCGACATTTCCCAGGTTAAGTCTGTTTGCACCAACTGTTTCCCAACCTGGGGCCACTTTTGTGTGGACTTCAACTCCCAGAATTCCCCAGCCAGCATGGCTGGCTGGGGAATTCTGGGAATTGAAGTCCACTAGCTAAAAGTTGCTCTACCTTGTAGATTAATTGACTTAATTTCGTTCTGAGTTACACAAGGACAATAAAGATAAGTCTATTCTATTCTAGGTACCAACCCCTGCCTAGTCCAGACCGAAATCCCTTTTCCGGTCATCTAATTCCCATTCAGAGTAACTGACTGGGATGGGACCTGGGAGGCCTTCTAGTCTGACCCCCTGCTCAAGCAAGAGACCCTTATATACCATTCCAGACAAACGGCGGTCCGATCTCTTGGAAAAGGAGCCAGACCTCCCACCCACCGTCCGTCCGTCCCCCGGGGCTGACCTCCAGCTGACCCTCCTCCGTGCAGGCGTGAAGCTTAAAGTGCTGGATGCTGATGGCTGTGATCACGTGGCCTTTGCGCCGAGAGTCGCAGGAGCAGTGAGGGAAGACAATCTCGTTGTAGCCCTCGCACGTCCGCAACATGTTCAGGTACTGCGGGGAAAGGGAAAGGGGGGGGGGGAGAGAAGAGGATGAAAGATTTGGGGAGGGGGTCTCTCCACCTACCAGGCCTTCCCAGCCAGGCCCCCCAAGGAATCTTACTTGGCTCTCTGCAACGGGATAGAATAAAATAGAATAATAATAATAATAATAATAAATAGAAACACAGACGAACAGAGTTGGAAGGGACCCGGGAGGTCATCCAGTCCAACCCCCTGCTCAAATGGTTGTCCGATCTCTTCTTCAAAACCTCCAGTGATGAAGCACCCACAACTTCGGGCGGCAAAACAGTCGTTAAGTGCCCAGAAGTGGACAAGCGCTTACCATGACCATCTTCCTCTGCTCGCCGAGCTTCTGCAGCTGGTAGGACTTCTCTTCGGCTTTGATGTAGCCTTTCTTCACGTCGTCGACCGCCTGGGAGGAGGAAAGGGGGAAAAAACATGGGGTCAAAGGACTATTCCAAAAAAGGAGAGGGAGGGAGGGGTTTTCTGCTTCCCTACGCCTCCCGCTTCTCCGTGACAAGCTTCTAGTCCTCAGGGCGGAAGGCGACCGATCCAAGTCAAAGGCTTGGGGAAGAACTGAAGAAGACCCGAGGGAAATAACACGGAAGGAAGGAGCAGATCCCTAAAGTTTCTCCCGGGTGGTCCTGCCCTCCTGGAGGAAGATTCGTTCTGCTCATTGCCCGATTCTTGATCTCCTTCCGGGAGGGATCACTTGATCCTCCTTTTAATCTGGAGGGCCTCCTGAGCAGAGCAGACCTTTGCCCTCAAGAGGGTCCCAAGTGGAAACATGGAGGTTTTCGCCCACTAGCCGGCCTCCTCCTGCCCTGATCCCCGGGCGAGACCCCTGGGCTTCCCCCAGAGAGGGACCCCGCGCCTCGCACAGGAGCTGCGGGTTGCCCGAAGGGGGGGAGCCCACCTGGTGGAAGAAGTAGGTGACGGCCAAATCGTTGTCGTTCAGGAGAATCTCTTCTTCCGTCGTGAAGAGCCACTTCCTGATCGTCAGGCAGGTTCCCGGCACGGCCGAGGTGTAGTTCTGCACGTAGAGCTTGTGGGGGAACTCATTGGGGGCCAGTTTCCTCACTGGGAGGGGGGAGGGAAACAGAGAGAAATGGGGTTGGCAAGAGGACACGTCCCACCGCGGAGGGCGACACTGCCATCTTCTGCCAGCCTCAGGGGCATCTCATTTTTGGCAGACGCTTTGCCCTCAACAGCAGACGCGTACCTGCTTATTCACACGTTAGGATTCTATCCTGTTGTTTTATAGGTAACTCAGGGGGGTCAAATGTACCGAATGTTCCTTCCTCCTCCTATTTCCCCCAGGACGACAACAACCCTGTGAGGTGGGCTGGGCTGATGGTGAGGGCCATCTCAAAGTCCCCCAGTTGGCTCTCGGGCCCAAAAGCACCCCCGGCGTCCCTCTGGGAAACCTCTCAAGGGGCAGAAAGGGGGGGGCAGCCGTGGAAGGGAGGCTCCTTACCGAAAGAATGGTTGATCACTTCGAACAAGGCAAAGTAGTTGGTGGTGGTGCTGTCCATCCCCACCTTGGAAGCGACAGCCTGGAGGGAGGGAGGGAGGGAGGGAGGGAGGATAGGAAGGAAGGAAGATGGAGGAAGGAAATTAAAAAGAAAAGGAGGAAGAGAGAGAGGAAGGAAATAAGGAAGGAAGGAAGGAAATTAAAAAGAAAGGAAGGGAGGGAGAGAGAGGAAGGAAAGAAGGAAGGAAATTAAAAAGAAAGGAAGGGAGGGAGAGAGAGGAAGGAAAGAAGGAAGGAAATTAAAAAGAAAGGGAGGGAGAGAGAGAGGATGGATGGAAGGAAGGAAGGAAGGAAAGAAGGAAGGAAGGAAATTAAAAAGGGAGGGAGGGAGAGAGAGAGGATGGATGGAAGGAAGGAAGGAAAGAAGGAAGGAAGGAAATTAAAAAGGGAGGGAGAGAGGAAGGAAAGAAGGAAGGAAATTAAAAAGAAAGGGAGGGAGAGAGAGAGAGAGGAAGGAAAGAAGGAAGGAAATTAAAAAGAGAGGGAGAGAGAAAGGAAGGAAGGAAAGAAGGAAGGAAGGAAATGAAGGGAGGAAGAAATGCATTTTAAAAACTAGAACAGTTTTGGAAGCTCAAAAGCTTAAGAAGCCAAATCTACTCTTAGAAGCTCCTGTCCGTTCAAGCATTTGGGGAGCCAGTTCCCTCCTGCGCCCCCAATTTCTCTAAAGCCCCCGAGAAGCCGCCCACCCCCAGAGGACCCCTCCCTACCTGGTAGACCTGGTCGGTGGTGCTGTTCTTTTTCACCCGGACAGTCACCGTGGTGACATCTGGAAGGGCCACCCGGAGCTCCACGTCCGACACCCCGTTGAAATTCTGGGGAGAAACAGCCCGGTTGAACTACTGAGGAAGGCGGCTTCCTCTTGGGAGAGAAAACCCCTTTTTTGGCCACCCAGAGGTGGGTCACAGCGACAGCCTGGCTCAGGGTGAGGAGACCTCGTCCCACCGCCCAAGAGAGACCCCCCCCCCGACCCCCTCTGGCCAGCCTACCTCGTCTGATTCCGACAGGAATTCTTGCATGACGTCGCTCTCCCCGATCACCCGGATGGAGCACACTGCGGGGGGGGGGGAGGGGAGAAAGCAGAGTTGTGACTGGAGTGGAGGGGGGTCTCGGGGGGGGAGAAGAGAATGGGGCTGGAAGGGTTAAGAGATTGCCATCTGGGCCTTTTCCCATACATCCAGAAGGGAAAAAAAAATGAAACAAGAATTCAAATGTTTCACTGGCCCTTTCCGGTTCAACTGCCCAATATTTACAGTATTGTATTTGTATTGTATTGTATTGCATTGCATTGCATTGCACTGCACTGCATTGTATTGTATTTTGTACTGTATTATATTGTATTTTGTATTGCATTGTATTGTATTTTGTATTGTATTACATTGTATTTTGTATTGTATTGTATTGTATTGTATTTTGTATTGTATTATATTGTATTTTGTATTGTATTGTATTTTGTATTGTATTATATTGTATTTTGTATTGTATTGTATTGTATTGTATTTTGTATTGTATTATATTGTATTTTGTATCGTATTGTATTGTATTGTATTTTGTATTGTATTATATTGTATTTTGTATTGTATTGTATTTTGTATTGTATCAGGGGTCTTCCAACTTGGCCCTTTGATGACTTGTGGACTTCAACTCCCAGAATTCCTCAGCCAGGCACGCGTGCCTGGCTGAGGAATTCTGGGAGTTGAAGTCCACAAGTCATCAAAGGGCCAAGTTGGAAGACCCCTGTATTATATGTTCTGTTGTGAGTGATGTTATAGGATATGATACGATATATTATTGCATTGCATTCCATTCCATTATTATTAACTGTATTATTGATATAATCTTCAGTTTGATTCACAGTCTGGGACCGGGAACAACATAACAGTTCAAGTCCTAACCGAGGGCCCTTTAAGAGCTGTTAAAAGTAACGTCTGAGTATATAGGCTGTTCTGAGTATTATTATTATTA